CTGACAGTGCAGGGTGTCTCTGAGCTCACCTTAAATCTTGAGTGTGAAGTTGTGTTTACAGACAAGCATGATTTATGACATCACATCTAGTTTTGAGGCAATCGTGGTCAAATATGCAACTACTTTATTGACATTTTGTACTCAATTATTATATAATTTTCATATATCTTCAAACATTTCTGGAGGAGATGTTTAAGTTGAACTTAAAGGGGCCATGTTACCTCACGAGATCTTATAGGATTTGTTTGTTGACCCTTTTGACCCCAGGCTTTGCAGTGTTGGGTTTGCTTGACTTCTGCACTGGATCCATCTTTCAATCTATGTTCGCGACACATGACAAAATATACACTTCAGACAAATCTAAAGCGATGCGGTTTGGCTGGGAACCGAACGATTGTGAGCCGAAACTCTTATCAAATCCCTCCATGTATATCAATAGCAATTTGGGTAGAATTGCCTCTCAGCTGTTGTTTGATATGAGAGAAAGAAAATGAGAGGAGGCAGTGAGATGAAGCTGGCAGTACCCGGTCCTGCGAATGTGTGTTCTGCCTGCATACTTGGCATCAGATCAAGGTGAATCTGGTATTAGCGAGGGAATGAGCTAAGGAAAGTGTGTGTGTCTGTGTGTGTGTGTGTGTGTGTGTGTGAAAGAGAGCAATGTGTGTGTGCATTTGCAGCCCTCATTAGACAACTCCAGCCCTGCGTTCACAGTATGAACACACCACTCCTCCCCTTCCCCTCACTCTCAGCCTCTCTACTAAATGAGGTTAATAAACTCAAGCGTTTACTACCATCACCAACACCATCCCTCCTCCCATGCTTTCTCCTTCATCTCTACCTCCACTGCGCTTTGCACTCCCGGGCCAGCACTCCTCCACCTCCCTTCTCCTTCCTAAGCCTCCCTCCTTCTTTCATCTCAGCTGAATTGCTTTCTTCCTCTTTTCCTCACCTCTTTTTTTATTGTCATTGTTGCGGAGCGAAAGCTCTGGGATTTCCTCCCTCTGCTTCCCAGGACAGAGCTGCAATTACAGCTCAGGAGAGAAGAAGACCAGCTGTGCAAGAGAATCGCAAGCAGTGTACCGGCAGTAGCAGGGAGACAAAGATGAGGGCGCCCCTCAGAGGAAAGGACATGAAACTGCTCGCATTTCTTCCTCACATCAAAGCAGAAGCATACTTTCAGACCACGTGAAGTACCAGGCAGGGTCATCATGACCATACAGGAATAACAACCCATCATAACGAATAATGTGCTGTGTTATGACCTAGCTCCTGAGCTTTAAAACACAACTGAACACATGCACACACACACACACACACAGAGGCTGTGGCAGGATCACGCCGTGATACCAGGCAACTGTGAAGAATGCTTTAAACAGCCTTGGGTGCTCTTATCTGAGACCGCACGTGGACAGAGACATCCTAAAAGAAAAAAAAATACATAAATATAAAACAGAAATTCAGTCAGCTGTGACCTGAATATGTGAAGGAATGCTGTTCGAAATATTTATGTGGCAGCATGTCAATACATAATGTTTGTTTCCTTTCATCTTAATGTTTACAGCCGCCGGGCACAGAATCAATCACGTGCATTATTTCAGGCAATATAGTGTATACATGGATTACTTATTATACTTCCTTAATACTTACCTGCTATACAGTTCAGGACACGTGGGTGCGAGACTAAAATTGAAATAGCCTCTGTGATTATCCGACATCTGACTGGATTACCTTCAAACTAAATAATTATTTTCACCTCAGGTCCGGTCACAGTGTCCTTCTGATCATATGAGTAAGGGCCTGCTATTCATCAAGGCAATGGCTGTTAAAGTTTAAAGAATTCTTTAACTGGAGGAGATTTAACAGTTAAACCTTCTTCAGTTTTTACTGTATCGTGTTATACACAGCAATGGCGGTGACAGTAATCATGACTTTAAACGGATTGTGATCCCTTCATCTCGTCACTCATCCTACTGCACCACCAAAAGATAATGTTTTTTTTTTTTATTGTCAACAAATCCTGTGAAAAGACCAAATCCAACAATTCGTTAATTAGTACCTCGATACTCTGTGATTTAGCTCTTTGTAAACATTAATCAAATAGGGGTAGACATTTGTTGGCGACTATTTTAGATCATTTACACATCTGGTGCTCTAGTCTGGTGAGTATTTCCATTAGCCGGATGATGTATGTGGGATTGACTCACAGTAAAACTACAGTTTTCATGTTCATCGTAATCGTAATGAAGGAAGATGTCAGCCAGCACGGCGGTGCGGCTCACTGGTGTGTTTTTGGACACACACTGGAGCTTTGGCTACACAAAGTCTAGATCTTTTTTTGTTTGTGTCTCTCTTAAATCCCTCAACTTTGTGGTTACAGTACAATACTGAATTGCTGAAGTACTCTTTTGAGTGACCCCTTTCCCGTCGTGTACAGTCATCCTTGTCCTATTTTGATGGACACCTTTATCTGTACATTTTTCAGATGCTTGGCCCCAACTGGAAATGATCCCATGACCCTGGCAGCGCCGCCAAGACCCACTGCACACTGGATCACGTTATTAAAATGACTCTGATATGTGTCTGTTCAACTTCAGGCATCAGCTGCTTGCAATGTAATGTTTCCTAACAGCTGTCGCACTGTCGGCTCGCCTGTGTGAGTGTGTAACAAAGAGAGAGTGATGGCAGCAGGAGCTCTCGTCGGGCCCATGGGGCAGACGGTCGTGTCGTTTCACTGGAAACATATGGTGAAACTCAAGTGTGTAATTTACCTAAGACTACGGGTGGCCCCGAGTAACACGTACACACATGTTCACATGCACACACACACAAACACACACAAACACACACACACACACACACACACACACACACACACACACACACACAGTGACAGGGTGTAATTTACCTGGAGCCTATGGGTGGCCCAGTATCCCGTTGCACTTGTCATACACACAGACAGCTCAAACTCAGTTCACACTCCCTGGCAGAGACAAGAGAGAGTGAAACTAATTCTCCCAGGTCCGCAGACAGGAGAGTAAGAAATCACACAATGACAGAGATGTTACAGATCAACACACTGAAAGGTTCAGAAGGCTGAAACTGCATTTAGTGTATTGGCCCAGTGGAAGACATTACCCCAGAATCTCCACCTGTGGGAGTTGCTGCACACCCTGTATCACATCCTCTACAATTCATCAACCTGGCTCCTTTTCAAAGCCGGCGCTAACCTCCCCTCAGAGAGAGAGAGAGATGAAGGTCATGGGAGCACCAGCCAAGGGAAGGGAAGACAGATTATTGGAGTGTGTCCCTCCCTACATTCCTGCACTGACCTTCATAGTGGTGTGACACTGCAGCTATCATCAGCCCACCATGCTTTACAGTTGGTTTTGGTTGAGGGGTGGGATTACGGTCTCCTCCAACCTGCATGCCCCACCCCAATTCCACGGCAACCGTAAATAGAGCATATCTTGTTTGGGAGGAGGATTGACAGACAGGCAGTCCCAGATGTTTGAGGTGTCTGTCTGTGAAGGCTGATATGATAGCCTGTCTACAAGTTGCTGTGTGTGTGTGTGTGTGTGTGTGTGTGTGTGTGTGTGCGCGCACGCGCGCACGAGTTGGTGTTTGATCTCCTTTCCCAGCCAAAGGGCTTTAACTTTACTCCAGGTGCAAAGAAGTCAACCTGAGGGCATGGGAGGCACATACAGTTGAGATCACAACCCTGCAGTACATACACAAGCTCTCTCTCACACACACACACACACACACACACACACACACACACACACACACACACACACACACACACACACACACTGAGGCAGGAAGTTTCCTTGAAGCAGTAACTCAGACTGAGTAACTTTGTGGTTTAAACTGGTTTACCAGTCTAGTGGTGTCGCCGTGGAATGCTCCTAGAGACTGCACTGTGCTGGAGGATAAACATTACTGTTACCGCCTCCACAAGTGAACATCAATCAGTCCCAAACAGAAATACTGAGAGTCAAAAAATGAAAAGGTGAAAGGGCCAGCTGGTTCAGTGGGCAGTATAATGACAATGTGCAGGACAGGCTCCCAGTCTCCTGTACACAGAAGCAGATGGAGTTGGGTTTTCTTTGCTGCAGGTCAGGTATGATTGGGCAGAGGGTCAATTAGGTGGAGAGTAAACAACAGACCTGAACACACTGAAGTGAGGCTGGGACACAGTTGTTCAACAGGTGCATAAGATTTGGCAAATTTGGCTAAAATAATCAGCGAGCCATTAACTCTATCCAATAAAGTGAATTGCTGTGTAAGCGACATTAAAAGCTCTAAACGGCATGTCTTCCATTCTATTACCCTAAATGTAGCAGGAATAATTCCTGCGTATCTGCACACAGGAACTCTGTGTGGTCCATAATGAGCTCAGTAAACATCTGCTACTCCTGTATTAAAGACCATTTTCTCTGCGCCTCATCCTGTAATATGGAGAAATTAGAGTGCAGGGACTCATTCGGCGTGTTTATACACACACACACACATTCACAGAGAGCAGACATAACATACGGAGTCCAAGTGTTTTTATGCAACCCAACTGACGCTCTAACATACCATCTCAACACCACAATTTTCCATCCGCAACAGTAAAACACTACCGGGTGTCCTCGGTGTATGGTCCATGACTACCAGGGTTGTTGTTTTTTTTAAGTGAAGGGTGCTGAGGCTTGATCCAAAGAAGCAGGTTTACAGATTCATCTGGAAATCTTTATTAATTTAACCCCAGAAGCTCCTCAAATCTGGAACATGTGAATGTAAAAAATACTATTGTTTTTAGGTTGCAACTGAAATAATACACTTTGTTTATTTAGCACGGCAGCGTTTCCCTCCAAACACTGCAGAACACAACAAAGGCTTGGTTATGCAACTTTCATAGAGGAATAGCACCACCTACTGTCAATCCTCCATAGCAAACACAAATCTACCAATAGTCATCAGAAACACAACGTCCTATGATTCTGAGGAGAACAAAATGTAATTCAAAGGCTTGGAGGGTTTAATGGTTTTATTATAGGAACCACTTAAAGGACTTTGAAAAAGCATTTCCTGTACAGCAGACTGACAAAACAAGAAGAAGAAGGCATGACTCCTCAGATTACAACACCTCCGTGTACACGCTGGCGTGGTTGTAGTAATCCATCTGGTTTAACTTAATCCAGCAGAGTGTTCGTCATCCATGCAAACCTCATGCTCCTGTCTTCCCCCCCCCCCACTCCTGAAAAAGTCTGTTGATGGTACATTGATCCATTTGCAGAGGCTCTTTCTCACTTGCTCATCTCCTGCTGGACCTCACTGAGGATCTGCTCCTCCAGTTTGGACGTGTCGTACTCCTTCAGCATGTCGTACTCCAGCCAAGGCTGGGCCCACTTCTGGGCGTGCTCCATCCTCTCTGGGGTCAGGGACAGGTCAAAGCGAATGCCCTGGATGTTGAACTTGGGTCGTTCCCAGCGTTTGGACCACGGCTTCGGACGCATCCTGACCTTCATCTGGTGAATAGACAGAAATGCTAATATGCTGCAGTTCTTTTGGATCAAACCACCCAGTGAAGGCACATTTTTATCTAACTTACTTGAAACAATACCTGCATTACTAGGAATACTGATACATGCAGCTGTACAGAAAAAAATACTTTTAACATTATTAAGTACAACGAATATGTTTGGGGGACTTTGTTATGAATTAGGATCCATCTTGAGGCTCTCTCACCTTGTTGAAAGGCACCTCTCCAGTGGGGGAGAAGGGCACGGGCTTCATGTCCGGGTCGACAGAGCTGTACTCGTTCAGGGCGTCTCTCAGATACATGAGGTTGTCATCGAGCCTCTTCTCAAGCTTCAGCACGTCAATCTTCTGGATACGGGGGCTGTACAACTCGTAGCAGATTTCCACTCCTGAGACACACACACACACATGAAGAAACCGGCGTTTTAGCTGAAGGACGCCTGGTTCACTTCTTGTAAATGTTAAGGAACTCTGGATGGAGGAAGTCTGTCTTCTTCCTCAACCAAGTTATAAATGGCCAACACTACGGTAGAGATGTGGACATAGACAAATATAGAGGGAAAGGGACAGGCAGACTCAATACTGGTTTACAATAATATCAAACATTTTGGTTAACTTAAACAAGACATTCCTTCATGTCATGAGACAGTGATGCCACAGCCTGTGTGCAAACCTTTGTTTACTGAAATGCTTACACAGAAAATAAATAAACATCACCTTGATTATCAATGATGTTCCTCAGGACACATGTGGCTCCCAGCCCCTTTCCACCCCTCTGGATACAAATGCCGACAAAGCGATTAATTTTCCCACTGGCATTGGGGTCAGCCATGGTCACTGCCAGGATGCTCCCTGAAAACAATCGGAAATAATTTACACCATTTAAAAATGACGCAATCAATACACTTTGTGCGTAATTAAAAAAAACACAATTGATATCAGCATAGCAGCATTATTTAACACAATGCATATTGTTAATAAGTTTAGGAAATTGCCTTGATATAAAATAGGATCTGAGGAGGCTTTGTATGTCTTAAGATTTGGAAACAGGAAGTTCCACAAGTGAAGGGCCGAGACAGCAGAGGTTTTTGGTAATCTTACACCTGTCACCTCACAGTGGTCACGTGCCTGTTGGGGGATTAAAGAGGTTTCTTACCTGCGTAGAACTCTGGGATGTTGAGGACTTTCCTCCTGCGAATCATATCTTTCCTCTCAATGGAAAATTTAAAAGGATCTGTCCTCTGTCTGGGAGGGATGAACTCTGGGCTCAGAAACCTGAGAGGGACGAACAAACAGGACATCAATTAACAAAACCATGCTGTGTACAGTATGCAGCGTTAACATGTGAATCTGGGAATGTCAGTCATACTTTCGCAGAGACGCCACAGTCTGTGTTTTATCTATGATGACAGGCTTAGGTGGAGGGGTGAACTTTGGTGGCTCCTCGCTGTTATACGCCGGAGCCAGACGACACAGTGACGTCGATATGAACCCTGGAAATAACAAGAAAATACGATAAAAATCCATGTCAAAGTCGTGGTCGCTATTTCGTTAGCTAACAGTCTAGCGTTAGCTAACGTTAGCTCGTAGTTCGTGGATGTACGTTACATTACAAGTACAACACATCTTCGAAGGCCTGGCAGTAGACTACCGGAGACAAGTGAGCTTCTTCGGTTTGCTTACGTTCATTTTGGAGCCGCAGGTTTCGTAATAACCTCAGTGAAAACATGCATTTGTCGAGCCCTTTCGCACAGGCTGCCATCTCTGACCTTCTGTTGGCGCATGGGTATTTGTACGGAAGCCGCGTAGGGAGATGTCAATGAAACGCGATTTGTTGTACTCTGCAGTAAAGTCTGTGGTCCACAAGATGGCGCAACCGTTTCATAGGTTATACATCATCTAGCCGGGTCCTGTTTCAAATGCATTAAAATATAGGAAGTAGCACATAAATACTGTATTAAAAAATATATATTATAAAGATTGATGCATTTAAAGATGCATTTATGGATCTAAATAGATTTACCTTTATTCCACTCAAAAATGTAATAGTGGTGTGAGTATTGAATCCTCTTGGATTCTATATGTCAGTAAAAATTGCAATATGATACAATAAATACACTCATGCCACTATCCAATAATACAACACTCTGAAAGGGGCCATTTTGCCCCCCAATGACTATCATATTTTTACTTTTAATAATTGATGTAGACTACGTTTGTGCTTTTAAGTAAAATTGTGGATAATATTACTTGTAATTGTGTCTGGTGGGGAACTCTGGGTCTTTGAGACCATGCAGGGGAGCGGCGGTCCTCCAGGTGGGCTGCCTCCACAACACGCAGTTAGAAATGCACTCAGAGAGCAGTGCACTGCACGACCCGCACAGTCTCACGGCGGTGTGGTGGGAGGATGAGGGAGGACTAGAGACATGGGACCGCACATCTCCCGCACGCGACGCAGCACCTGAAACCCAATGCGGCTGCTGGACTTTGTAGTGCTACGGAGAAACTCACAAACTTTAATGCTTCAAGGATGTTCCTCTCAGATGGGACTCTCTCAGCCGTCAGTTCTGCGCTCCTGTTGGGAATTACGTGTCTGAGCGTCCTCAGCGATCTCACCAAGGGCTCATCAGACCTTTCAGGTTGGGTATTGTTCTGTTGTGTTTCTTTTTTTTTTTGTAGTCTAAAAGTTGTTTTTACAAACCTTCAAAAAGCAACGATGCAACAGTATAAGTTCAGATGGCCAGATGGTTTTATACTGCGTTGTTGTGTGCACTCAATTAAGCCTCATCCTGTTTTTACGCGAGAGAAGTAAACAATTAGCACCCTAGTAGATGAAAAATAAAAAACGAGTCATTACGCATGCTTTAATTCGTTGAGCACGACACTCAAAATAACTACGAGCAGTGATCTCAGTGCTGTGTGTCGCATGAACCTCTCCTCCCAGGACGACCCGTGCCCGTGGCATGCTCACTCGAATGTTCTGTTTCTCAAACCGAGCAGAATGATCAACTTTAACATGTGGAAAAAGCCTTTATCTTTTGGCAAATTCTGACCCACGTTGAGGCACTTCAAACGACAGGTCGTCCTTTACCGAAGCCACCTGGCTGTAGGGGATTAAGGCTTGGTTTATCAGTACAGCGAATATCTGCAACACACACATCCCATTGATGGAATGGAGATAAATGGGTTAATGTGTTACTAGATGGGAACTATTGTCTAGACCAAGTGCTGCAGATTTACAGCTCAGAGAAGAAAGCAAACTTCAGATGCCTTGTATGCAATCAGTTTGAAAAGATAAGGTCAATGCGAGTCATATCAGTGCCCAGGACCTGCCGATTACCTCAGGTTTATGTGCAATCCGGTGTGACTGAATCTGTGAATCTCAATTTATGTGCCCTAAGAAAAGGCAGCATATTTCTAAACTAATGAGTTGTTTTTTCTGTGTTGCATTAAAGACCATTGAGCTCTGCTGAGCCCAAGGCAAGCCTGCAGGTTTTGTTTACTGTGCCATAAAACTGGAAGGCAGCTTTGTGTCGGTGTTAATTGATCTCTAATGGGTCTAATGGTTGGGAACAAGCAGACTACCACTGTGGGGAAAAAGGTGCTGAAGAGCAGATGTATGTAACATGCCCTCTGTGTGTGTGTGTGTGTGTGTGTGTGGCTGTGTGCACATGTGTCCAAATGTGCCTAATGAGCTGCTAAAGATCACGGTGAAGTGAAGGCTGTTAACGAGGTTACATTTCTGTAATTGTCATGTGTCAGTGGCTGTTGGTTTGGTCATAAATGCTATGAGAGTAGATTAAATGGTGGTTAATTAAGCAACAAGGTAAAGCTATTAGAGCATCTGAATCCAGATTTCCGCTGGTCAGTGCAGGTTTACATTACAGTCATTTAGCAGATGCTTTTGTCCAAAGCGACTTACAATTCAGTATCTATCTATACACCGTAGGCACAGCTACGGCAGCAATTTTGGGGTTAAGTGTCTTGCTCAAGGACACATTGACATGCGACTAGTGAAGCCGGAGCCGGGGATCGAACCACCGATCCTCTGATTGAAGGACGGCCCTGCTCTCCACTTAGCCACTGTCGCCCTTCACCAATACCCCGGCTTAGGCACGATTATTCAAAATCGATATCATAGGCGAGGAGATAATTCGTTGAGATCTCAGCTTTGGTGTAACTTTTTTTTTGTTTTTGTCCTGGAAGTGGCTCATTGATACCTTTGCTCCATAGGGGGATGGGGAGGAGACACTGCTGTCATTTTGGGATCTTCCATTGCGTTACGTGGACCTGAGATCGGTTTTGAAGGGACGCCGGTGTTGAGTCCCCAGATGTGATTTGGTTTTGCTCATCAGGATCTCTGTGCAACATGCTTGAACAGAAATGCTGACAAAGCATGCCCAGTGAATGACATGAGAAAGAGGACTAAGAATACCTCGGGGACAAAGAAATCCTTCAGTCCTCACATTCTTGACCAGCGGAGTCTCCCTGGAGACTGAGAGGGGTGTTTTTTGATTGACAGGTGCTGCCAGGCTGACAGAAGTAGATGTGGTAGAGCATCCGATGCTCAGGGCTCTTATCGGTCATGCGGTCGGATTGGCGATGGTGGAAAATCTGGTCACATCGGTGAACCTGCGGTGAAGTGACCCAGCGGAGCCAACTGTTGATTTCCAAATGAACGCACATCATATGTTTAGTTCCTGCCTCTCTGTATATCTTGTGTTTGCATCATCTGTTGACAACTCGAGTAAAAGCAGTTTCACATTTCATCATGGAAACAAACGACTGCATGTTGGTGGGTGTTTTGATTCTGTCCCCCCTGTTATCATTTTCTATTATACAGCTGCCTGAACGGGTAATTACAGGTGTGGAGTGAGCCGAGCAACACTTAAGAGCCCCGTGGGCTAACGTAGCCAGCAAGCTCATTATGCTGAATGTTCAACAAGTCATTGATGCTTTGCTGTTGTTGTTTTGTTAATATAATCTACAGTACACGGCGTTATCGTCGCCTCCCCTACATGTATATCCATTTGTTCAGGTTTACTCACATGACAAGCTTGTTATGTAACTGTTCTTCATCAGACTGTGAGCAGCAAACCATCCATCACCGGAAATGACCGTCACGCTTCTTTGCCTTTTTGTGCAAATACCATAGACTGTATATAAGGCACATACAGACCACACTGCACCACAAACACTGGATGGTGTCTCACATGTTTTAACACTAAAATAGAGCTAAAACTCTTTGTGTAATCTATAAATCATTAACATCATTTTATGAGTAAAAGTGCCAGCTTCTCAGTTGTTGCTTTTCTTTGTCTTAAGTGATGGTAAATAGAAAAAGGCTTTTTGTCGTGGTTGGACAATAAAAGTAATTTGAAGACTTCAGACTGGTCTTTAGGGTGTGATGGGTATATCTTTGACATTATCCTGACAAAATAATCTGCCTAACAAAGTCAGAAAACATATTTTTTGTCAACACATATGCTGTGTGATGAATGCTGGACTGTTTAAAAAAAAAGGGCGAAACAATGACAGGAATCTAGCATTTGCTATAACTGGGCCTTTCGCCTGTGAGTTACTTCCAAAACAAAGATGTATTGTATGTCTCTTTTAAGCACAGAACATTTCAGACCCAGTTGTTTATTACCAGACAAAATATATGACGCTGCCAAAGGGTTACAGTGCAGCAACTTTTCTTCTCTTTCATTAAACCCTCTAGGCAAAACCCTATTTAACCCCTGTCAATGGGATGTGAGGCTGTTGAGGGGCCAAGGGGTCAACTGAGGTCAACCCATAGTAACTGTGAGTGTGTGGTTAGGGGGAGTTATCATCCATCTTGCTCTTTGTTCCCCCCTGTCGAACCTCATCACACATGTTGACCACTGTCGGGAAAGAAAGAAAGAAAGACACCGTTTTCTTTAGGTCATGAATTTAAATTCCGTTCAGGCGAGGCAGATGTTTGGATAACTTCAAAGTAGGGCAGTGAAGTTGTTTGGGATCAATTCAATTTGTTTTATCAGTTTTTACATTTACTTTTTCTTTTTTGTCAGTGTTTTAACATTGGATACACATACTTTGTCTTTGGTCAGAGCCTCTCCAGCCATATCTGTGTTCCCATGTTTACTAAGATATAGATGCTGTAGTTTACTGGATTTTCTTGCGGTAAAAAGTGTTGATCAAACAATTACAGCTGAAACGAGACAACTAATTGATTGGTCTTCAACAGAAAATGAATTACTCTTTTAAGTCATTTATCAAGCAGAAATGGCAAACATTTGATAGCTTTTGGATTCTCAAATGTGAGGATTTGCTACCTTTCCTTGAAAGTGTGAAATGATTGACGATTGATAGATTGTTGGTCGGACAAAACAAGAAATAGAAATGGGCCTCTTTTGGTTTTGGGGAAATTGGGATGGATATCTTTTTTAACAAATTCTTGCACTTTTATAGACCAAACAATTAATTAATCAATGGAATTTTTTTTGAAAATAATCATTAGTTATAGCCCTAAAAACAAAGGCTTAATATTGTGATGTAAAGAGCAGAGGTCGATCGATTAGTGGATGTTTAAAGGCCGATATCATAATATTAGTTTGGAGCAACAAAAAGCTGACAGACAATTAATCGGTCGATACATTGAGAGCTAACTTTTGTGTGGAGAATTAAACTCAAGACGGGTCAGATATGACGTGAATACCACTTGTCATCTTGTTATAAAATCAGCTGTTCCCGGGATGCAAAGTTTTGACATCCATTTTCTAACACTATCCCCAGATTGATGCGTTAAAGATTTTTTTCATAGAGTCAAACAATCTAAATAATACAATTTAAAAACAGAATTTAAAGTCTGCCGGCCGGAGCACACTGAGTTGCCAGTCCGTTGTTTAGATTATTATCAGGAATTAACCACATTCGCACACTGACATTTTCAGCAAAAGTGGCCCTCATTATGTGAATGGAGCCTCTATGTGAAACGGTGATGGACGCCCCTGAGTGACTGGTTGGCGGCTGCGCCGACTATCGGAGCTCAGTTCCGCCGATAGCGATAGTTTGTATAATGTCCCATTGGCGCCGATTAATCTGCCAAACCAAATAATCCGTTGACATCCGGTAAAAAGACTGGGGAGCTCGATCCTTCAACTGAGACAGATCAGCTGATTGCTTTGCTCTGGGCAAGCGCTCTAAGCTGCCTGACACTGCAGCCAACACTCACACACAGACACACAAATCCACCTATATTACCCTATGTCCTAGTCCATATTACTGAGCGCTACTATCTTAATCCGCTCTGATTTTTGAGTGGCCTTGAATGAAGGGTAGCACACTGAACCCCATGCTCTCCTCTCCCAGCCCCTTCCCTCCCCCCCCACTCCAACACTCAGCAGCTCCCTTGCCTCCTCTCCCCACCACCGCCCCCCACCTCCACCTCGCTGCCTCTACTCCTCCCTAGGGCTTGCCTGATCACTGTTTCGGTGTCTTGTGTGCACCAGGTGAGCTCTGTCTAAACAAATCCTGCCTCCCACTTGTTTTGTCTACTGCGGTGGAGGCAGACAGCGAGGGCCGGGCATAAGGCGGCTTTTCTCTCTGACTGAATAGAGAGGGGGAGCTGCTGCTATTGAAAGAGCCCTCTCTGTGG